CTCGAGGCTAGTCAGACGGATTTCCCAATCCACGTCGGAAAGTCCGGGATCACCATACGGGGTTACCGGGGACAAGCACATCGATACGGCCAGGAAGCTAGAGCTGCTGCATTCTTGCGACCACTCGCAGGCGAGCGTCTTGAGCTTGTCGTTTGGGGTGCGGATGATGAGGGGTTACGACAAGCGTCTCGGATTGTCCCGATGCTGACGGGTGTCGGACAGCCTGATTTTGTGGTCTTCGGTGAAAGCGCAAAGTGGAAAGGTATCGAGGGCGTGTTAGCCATGGGCTTCTTTGACTCTGACTGGGAGGTCACTCCAAGTAGTATCATAGAAAGCGAATGAGCGATACAGGGATCCAAGCCTAAAGAGGCAGTATCTGGTTGCGGGTAGCAAAGGCTCAACATTTCTCGTTGGGCTTGTGAGGTGCATATTCTGTACTCTAGGGCTACGGTGAGCGCAATGTCTCAGGAAGTAGGTAGATCTGATTCAGTCCCGACAGTCGAACCTTTCGTATTCTGTGCGGAATCAGTCTTTTCGGGCACGATGCTCTTTCCGTTTGCTGGTGAAGACGAATGCGGAACGTCCCGACGCGACGCGCCTCCCTCTAGTTGCGCTCACCTAGTCTGCTGAGAAGTTTCCATTGCTGTCTCCCCACTACTCCGACTCCTCTTGACTTCGCTTCAGTCTCTTCCTTCTACCCTGCTGTCGTTCTTTCCTCACGACGACACCTTCTGCGATCTTCTGATTTATGTGCATTTGAGCTGTTCTCTCGTCGCTTCTGCATCTACTTTGGCTATATACGTCGCCAAACGAGCTGCGCTGAGCCTTCGTCCTGCATATTATCTGCACATTTGCCCAATAACCCCAGATTTGTTTCAAACCGCCTTCGGAACTGCAGTCTTCACCATATAGCTTGGAGACAACTGCTGCCTCCCGGATCTAAACCATCTACCCACACTTCCAAGCTCTACTACCATGAGCTTCAACATAACTTCCGACGGTTCTCCTACACCCCGCAAGGGCCCCAATCGATTCGCCATGGCCGGAGACCTTAGGATTGACACTTCGCCAGAGGTACTGGGCCAGGCGGTAGGCAGCATGAGCCTGAACCAATACCCATTTGCCTTCCAGCGTGCTTTTGGCTCACCGTTGACATGCAATACACAGGGCATGAAGCGACCACTCGGTCCTTCTACCCTGGGCAACCAAATACCGCTGCAACAGCACAGCTCGTTCGACGGCTATAAGGTCAGTCAAACTAGCGTCTATTATAGGCTCACCGTCACCATCTTCTATAGCGCCCAAACTGACCTATACAGAAGCCCAAGATGGAAGCTCACGAAGAGTCGGCTGTCATGGACTCGCTCCTACAGCGGCTGAACGGTCGCTCTCCTCCGCAAGACCCATACAGCTCGTCCAGTGGATCCATTCCCATTACGCCAGCGACGGACGAGTTCACATCTACCCCACCTACCGAGATGGACAGCTCCATTGTCCTCGTCGAGGCCAGCGAATTGCAGAAGCTGAAGCTGGAATTACAGGAGGCTCGCAACGAAGTCAACCGCGTCAACCAGGAGATGCACAGTCACCATGTAGCCCGGTCAACCATGGAGCACCTGAGCCAATCGTCTGAGGCTGATTACAGCTACCCGAGCGATGTCACTGAGCAGACTCTTACGAGTTTGCAGAACAAGTTTAATGCCTCTACCAGGAGCAACTACGGCTGGGGCAATGAAGCTGCTCGTCCAGCCTACACCGGCAGTAATAGCTTCGGACCCCCATATCAGGCCCAGACGCAACCTCAGGTCCAGCCCCGACCACAACCCCCACAGTCAGGCTATCGCCGCAACGGTTTCTTGAATGAACCTACACACTTCCCTCTCGACCAGAGCTTCCGCAGCAATGGTATGTCCACCAGCTTCAATGCTGGCATGGGTAACGGCATGCCGAATCCCATCGGCATCGGCAATAGCTTCAACAACAGTATGGGTGTTGGCATGGGCAACGGATTGAGTAACCCACCTAGCCGACCTAGTTCAGCCTTCGATTCAGGCTACAACCAGTACGCTATGCCACCCATGTATCCCATAGGCCATCCAGCTCCGATTGGCACCATGGCCAGCAGACTATCGCCTGACGCAAATGAGTTCAACGTCCAGAACAGCATGGGGCCATCACCATGGAACTCCCAGGTCAGTCATCACCACGACATATCGAACCTTGGTATTTACTGACATGGCGTAGACCCAAAGTGAGGCAGGTACTTCACAGTACGTCCCCTCAGTTGAACCGATGAATTATCGTCGCCTATTGGACCGCAATATGAGCTGCAACTGGAAATACATTGTCGATAAGATCATCTGCAACAACGACCAGCAAGCATCTATCTTCCTTCAACAAAAGCTCAAAGTAGGCACACCGGAGCAAAAATATGAGATCGTGGAGGCCATCATCTCTCAAGCCTACGCTCTAATGGTTAACCGTTTCGGCAACTTCCTGGTACAGCGCTGCTTTGAGCATGGTACGCACGAGCAAGTTATTGCTATTGCCCAAGCCATCCGCGGAAATACTCTTGCTTTGAGCATGGACGCGTTCGGCTGCCATGTCATCCAGAAGGCCTTCGACTGTGTTCCGGAAGAGTACAAGGCAACCATGGTCCATGAGCTACTTCGCCGCATTCCAGAGACTGTCATTCACCGATACGCATGCCATGTCTGGCAGAAGCTCTTTGAACTCCGTTGGAGCGACTCCCCACCCCAGATCATGCGTTATGTCAACGAGGCTCTGCGCGGCATGTGGCATGAAGTCGCATTGGGTGAGACAGGTAGTCTGGTCGTACAGAACATCTTCGAGAACTGTCTTGAGGAAGACAAGGTATGTTAAGATACTACTAAGCATGTGTTACCATCAGTACTAAATCGAAATAGCGTCCCTGCATCAACGAAGTGCTCGCAAGTATCGATGTCATCGCTCATGGTCAATTTGGCAACTGGTGCATCCAGCATATCTGTGAGCATGGCGCGCCTGCTGACCGTAGTCGTGCCATCGATCATATTCTCCGTTTTAGTACAGAGTATAGCATGGATCAGTACGCTTCCAAAGTCATTGAGAAATGCCTCAAGATTGGTGGTAATGAATTCCTGGATCGGTATCTGGACCGCATATGCGAGGCTCGCCCTGATCGTCCGCGTATGCCCCTTATCGAAAGTAGGTTCCAGGTTACTCTCTCGGTGTGAATGGTTGCTAACTCTTCGAAGTCGCTGGTGATCAGTTCGGCAACTATCTCATACAGTATGTCTTGACAAACAGTGGCACACAACATCGCGAACTCGTTGGTGGTCACATTCGCAAGCACATGGTCTCTCTTCGCGGCTCTAAGTACGGATCTCGCGTAGCCATGCTCTGCTGTAACCCTGCTCTTGCGACGCGCCCAGGACCTCCAGCAGGTATGCTTCCCCGCTATGGCAACCCCGCACCGCGCCCCAGTTTTGGCGCTTTCCGTTGAAGGCATGTCTTCCAATTCACATGTCTTCGTCCACATGCGTATCGTTGGGTATTGTCAGCCAGTGCACCGCTCGCTCGATCTCGTAAAAGGTATCGTGGATATGCCCAAAAGTTAAGATCAATGTCGAAAAAAATTGTCGAAAACCATTGGCTTAAGACGAAGATACGCATTCCCTACAGTTGGCTGGGATGACATCGATTCCTGCACACCTTATTACGACAGATCCTTTCTTGTTTATCCTAGCATTTTCATCGGGCCTGAAATACTTGGTAGCGTTAGCGTGGGACAGGCTGGAGAAGACGATATGGTGAACAGTCAACTGAATTGTACCTACATACTTATCCATCTTTCCGAAGCAGGCTGATTCAACGGTAATACAGTTACGGTAATGCTACCATCTGATGTATGCACTCTTCGATGGAATGAAAGCTTAATAGACCTCACCTCTAATGTTGACTGTGATGCCTCAGGAAGAGTCACTAGCATTACCGTGCTGTCGGAAACTAATACATGAACATTAAAAACAGGAGTTGCCACTCATTTTGTTGTCAAGGTCAATGTGCGGAGCCGCTCGGTGAATCGTGGAGTTCATGCGGGTTTCGGTGGCAACTCGGACACGGTCGGAAAGGTGTTTTGCACGTGTCGGTAGAACAAATTTCGAGCTTTGCAAAGAACTATGAGCCCTTGCATCAGGTACCACGTTCTGGAAAGGCCGGACGACCATGTGTTGAGGAGAAGGAAGGTTGGCCGCAGCTCTGCAAAGTGTGAGCAGTGCGAGCGGCGAGCGGCGAGCGGCAACTGAGGAGATGCCGCTTCGGCGCAAAATCCGAACAGCATGCGACGTGCGACATCTTGCCGACAAGGAGCAAACCAGGGATGCATTGCTCACAAGCTTACAGAGCCTTACTTAGCGGCTACTTGCATATTGGAGTCAAGGGTGAGTAAGTAACGCGTAGGATGATGCATTTTCGGAGATACTTGGAGGAAGAACATGTTGGAAGCATGTGATGATTGGTCGCATGACGCTGGAAACGCATCCCGTAACGGGGCAAATATTCTTCATCCAGTACCAATACGCGAGCAATGAAGCAAGAGCAGATTAAATCGCTAAAGAAGGTTTGCTCAATCGATCATGCATTGGTGACCTGATCTCAACGCGCACGATAATCGGCCCAGCCTGGAGGATGTAGGGCTAGGCAGGGCCTGCCGAAGGCACTTACCTCATCATCATAACCCGCACATGTCAACGTGGGTCTAGCGGCGCCGGAAGTTCGGCGACGTCACCATGGTGTAGTTTTGAGCGTTGCGTTATCTTTTATTAAGTCGCCGCATGCGCCGTCATATTTTACATGTAACTCCAGACTCCGTACACGTACTCATCCAAATTCCCCAACACCTGGTGTAACCAAACGTCAAGTTTTCAACAGCCGCTAAACTCTCACGACAAACCAACACACTTGCACCCCAAATCAAAGCAATTTCCACTTAAGACAAAATGAAGGTTCTTACCAAGGAAGAGGAGGAGGCGCATTACAAGTAAGATTCACGCATGAACGGCAATTGTGGAAGTCGTACTGACAAGTTGAAGTGCCACAGTCAAGGGCGGATCAATCGGTGGTATCATTGGTACGGCGGTAGGCGCTGCAGGTGTCATGGCTGCGAGTAGAAGATACCACTCCTTCAGAGCGCTCACCGTCCCGTTCCGAGCTTTCTTGGTCGCTTCAACAGGAACATTCGTTGGTGAGTTCCCGCACGCCACGCTGTAAGACTCCAGAACTCGTATCCTAACAATGCTACCCCACAGCTGTCATTGCCGCCGATCGAGCCTCTGCAGCATACGATATCGAACACACACCCGAAAAGAAGCGCCAAGTTGAACGCGAGAGGGAGCGCGAAGCCCTCTACGAACAGAACAGAACCGCTCTCGAGCGTGCGAAAGACTGGGCGACCGAAAACCGATACCCACTTCTCTTCGGTTTCTGGATTGCCTCCATGGCTGGCTCATGGCACATGGTCAACCGCAACCCATACCTGAGCGGATCACAAAAGCTAGTGCAGGCGCGTATGTACGCACAGGGTGGCACACTGGCGGCGCTGCTAGGCAGCTTTGCGATTGAGGGTGCGGATGCAGCGAAGGGCAAGGGAAGGTGGGAGACAATCAGGGTTATTGACCCGAATGATCCCGAACACAAGCATGTTATTGAGAAGAAGATCCATCACGAGAGATACGCTGGCGAGGACCAGTGGAGAGGTATGTGCACGTTCTTTGGATTGTATATTGGAAACAGCGAGCTAATTCAATAATGCAGAGATGGTAGAGGCCGAAGAGCAACGCGAGAAGGAGCGCAAGGCTGCTGCAGCAGGCAAAGAGCACCAGGCGAAACAGCATCAGCATGCTGCTGACAAGAAGGAGGAGAAGGCCGAGAAAGAAGAAGACCAGAAAAAGAAGAACAAGGCTTAAGCATGGGTTGACCTCATTTCCCACACCGACTCACGACGACCTCGAATACCTCCATTCTTCCGATCGGCCCCTGGTTCGGTCTATCCCTTGTCTTTTAAGAGCTCCATCATCATTATTGGCGTTTGGATGAAAATCAATCTGCAGCCCTTCTCCTTGTACCTATTACGTCTGTATGATTAAGGCGTGTCCTGGTGGCTGGATTGCGAAGTGGCGTCCGCGTTGTATGCAGATATGAGCGCATTTTATCGTACCTATGGGAATCAGTTTTCATGCCATGTTACTGTGCCTGAGGGGTGTTTCATCACACTTGCGCAATTCTGTGTAACTGTTGCGTGTTATTGATTTTGTTTTGCCCAGCCCTACAGCCTGCACACGATCAATTCTCAGGGTCCATCATGACGTCTGCGTTCCTGGGTTGGTACATCAAGCACGTCACATGCTTTCGTGATGAAGCTAATAGGTGCATACATGCTGTAGGGCTCCTCGTTTCATGTGAAAAGTAACTGCTTACCGGGATTCTACTCTTACTGAGATTACGAGTACTACTACTACTTCAACCTCACTTTCACCCTTGTACCCTGGTTAAAGTCAAGCAGTCGGCTCTACCCGGTTCGAGCAACACAGATATGAGCCAATCGGATATACCACGAACGCTGGAGTCAATATCGCAGACGCTCATACCGAACACCAATCTTGTTCATCCACCCAAAAAACCTCAAGATGCACAACTTACAGCGACCATCGCAGACTTACATGTCCATCCTACTATCGAGACACTGTTGCATATCCTGAACCACGACTTGCCCTCTGCACACTTCCTAGTGCGGCACATGCAGGCGCCGCCAGCTGTGGAAGGAATGTTGCTCCATGGTATCTTGCACCGTGCGGAAGGCGACTTTGACAATGCAAGAGCATGGGTGGGCGACGTGGCAGACGCATGTGAAGGTTACCAGCCCAAGCACAAAGAAGAAGGTCAGAAGCTGGATGCTGAAGTTGCGAAGCAAGTTGGCAGCAACTCTTCCATCTCTGCTTCGCTCATCGAGTTCGTCTACGGCGACCAGGAGCCTAAGAGTCTGATTGACGCCGTTGAAGAGTATCGAAGCAAGAAGAAAATTGACAGGGCAAATGATGAGGATGGTATCGAGAACAGGATAAGGGCCGAGGCGGAGAAGGTGCTGGAGTGGTGCAAGAATAAATTTGGAGACGGAGTGTTTGACGATGCGACAAAGGCATGGGTTAAGAATAGCGAGGAGATTAGCAAGATTAGCGGAGACATGGTGAGTGGCGGAAAGGGACATAGGAAGTTCTGAAAGCGTGGATAGTGTTGGTAGCATGGTGATAGAGTGGCATGTATGGTGGGGTAGATGTAATTTCTCTCCTGCTGCTGCTGGAGCTTTGCGATGAGCAAGGACGTCTAGAGCGATCGATACGGCGATCTCCCAGATTTCGGTAGCTTGTCGGTAGCTATCTAAGGACACGTTTATCTTCAGGAACCTCATGTCAAGCGATCCAGTGATAGTACCGGCGAGACGGGTGCCAAGAAAGGATGGTTTGGTCCTGCCCTCGATGGCAACGTGCATGCCCACTACCGCACACAACCAGGGTTCTGATGGCGCTCCACGGGGCAACAGCACGCGGGAATTCAGAGCAGGAATGTCTCAGAAGCCGGTATACAAGCAGGGTGAATGATGCAGCCAGATCGTCATCTGTACGGCAGTAACCACCACCTGGGCTTAAGCGAGGATGCGGGCCAGGGTGCAGCGACGAATGGCGGCGAGGCACTCGAGAAGCGGTCGGCCTGTGACATCAACGGCCAGCTTTCACCCCTAACAACGCCATATTCTTCCCGCACCACGTGCAGCTCTCGGCTGGACTGTACACGCAGAAATCATGGCCGACGAATCCCTCAAGCCCAACGGCCAGAGCCGTCCGAGCAACGTCAAACACCACACATCGCCGTCTCTCATGATGAACTCCCACTTTGCCGGTGTGGGCGAGAATGCCGACAAAGGTGCCTACGAACATGGCATCCAGGTCATTGACGAGGACAAGATGTTCAAGTATGTCTTCTGGCTGTGCAGGCAATTGGGTAGCAGAGTAGAGGGCTAATGGCAACTCGCTGTGCAGCACAAACCTATCCACATATCTCGGCATTGAGAAGGTTATCCCCTCGGGCTTCAACTACCACCTCATATCCGTCTTTGGCTCGCAGTCCACCGGAAAATCAACCCTCCTCAATTACCTCTTCGGTACCCAGTTCGGCGTCATGTCCGAGCAGGAGCGTCGTCAGACCACAAAGGGAATATGGATGAGCAAGAACAAGCGAGAGGAGGGTGGCTCTAACATGGCGGAAAATATCCTGGTTATGGATGTCGAGGGTACCGACGGCAGAGAGCGAGGAGAGGACCAGGACTTTGAACGCAAGAGCGCCCTCTTTGCGCTTGCCACGAGCGAGGTCCTCATCGTCAACATCTGGGAACACCAGGTCGGACTGTACCAGGGTGCCAACATGGGCCTGCTCAAGACCGTCTTCGAAGTCAACTTGCAACTCTTCGTCAAAGACAGCAAGTACGTTTGTTGACCACGCTAGACTCATCCCATGCTGACAGCCACGCAGGTCCACTCCCAGATCCCTCCTGTTCTTCGTCATTCGCGATCACATCGGCACGACACCCCTCAAGAATCTACAAAACACCTTGGTACAAGACCTGTCCAAGTTGTGGTCGACCATCTCAAAGCCCAACGGCCTGGAGAACTCGCGGATAGAAGACTACTTCGACTTCGCCTTCGTCGCTCTACCACACAAGATCCTACAACCGGAAAAGTTCGAGGAGGCAGTCACACAGCTTAGCACACGATTCAAGGAGGGATACAACGACCCCAGGAAGAGCGGGCTCATCGACGAGTCGACTGCACCCATCTTCCTGCCACAGTACCACAGACGGATCCCCGCAGACGGTTTCTCCGCATATGCCGAGGGCGTATGGGATCAGATTGTCAACAACAAGGACTTGGATCTGCCCACGCAGCAAGAGCTGTTGGCTCAGTTCCGTTGTGACGAGATCTCGCGTGAGGTCCTGGTTGCTTTCGACGAGAAGATCACGCCACTAGAGGACAAGCAAGCCGAAGATGCTCGGATAGGGAAGCTTTCTGTTATAGCCGACCTCGGCCCTGCCATGAGCGCCGCACGAACCAAGGTCTTCAAAGATTTCGATACGAATGCGAGCCGATACCACAAAGGCGTCTACAAGCGGAAGCAGGCAGAACTTGAAGGCAAGGTAGATTCACGGTTGAAGGCTCTGTTCCAGAAGCAACTCACAGCTGCTCACAAGTCTGGGGTGGAATCCTTCAGCGAGGCCGTCAGTGCGGCGGTCAAGAGCGGTCAAAAGAAGGGTACCTATGACTTTGCACAAATTGTCGATTCAGAGAAGAAGCAGGCACTTGCCAAGTTTGAAGAGGATGCAAAAGCCATGGCTATCGAAGGCGCGGCCTGGAGCAGTCACGAAAACGAGTTGAAAATCTACAAGAAGGAGCTCGACGACGTATCTGGCCGTCTGCGCAAGGAGGAGATGAGACGGTTGGCCACACGTATCGAGCGCTGGGTACGATCACGATTGGATGAGTCTGTCGGTCTTGAATTCAACAAGCTCGGATCCGGTCGAGGCGGTTCTGGCGCGCCCGAGCATGGGGAGCGACCTCCGACAGAGAAAGATCTGTGGGATCGTGTCTGGACCATCTTTACCGACACTGTTTCCATGGCTGAAAAGCGATTCACTGATCGCGCATCGAGCTTCGATGCTAGTTCCGACGAAGTTGAGGTCGGTCTGTGGAGGTTACGGCGCAAGTCGTGGGCTGTGCTCCGCGCAAAGATTGATGAGGAAGTTATGGAAGGTAACATCCTGTTGAAGCTAAGAGAAAACTTCGAAGACAAGTTCCGCTACGACGAGCATGGCGTCCCAAGAATATGGCGGCCCACAGACGATATCGAAGGCATCTACACCAAAGCCCGAGAGTCGACAATCACCGTCATTCCACTACTCGGTCGTTTCAAGTTGGCCAAAACATCGAGCCCTCCACCACTCGACGCCTGGATCGGCGAAGCACCCGCCTCGGTAACGCCCGCAGATGAAGACGACTTGACACCCATCGGTGGTCTAGACGATGAAGAGGGCAAGACCCTGGAAGAGGAGATGACGATTCTCTCCGACGCCAAGCAAGCCGACCTTCTTGTCCGCTTCAAGAAGACTGCAGATGGTGTCTATGTGGAAGCCAAGCGTAGCGCGATTGGTGGTATCACACAAGTTCCGTTGTACTTCTACGGCTTACTCCTCGCGCTGGGTTGGAACGAGATAGTAGCTGGTAAGTTCCCTTGTCGTCCCTTCTCTCCGCTATTTGTCGACTAACACTTCCCAGTTCTTCGCAATCCAGTATACTTCATCTTCCTCATCCTCCTCGCTGTCGGCGCCTACGTAACCTACACTCTCAACCTATGGGGCCCCATGGCACGAATGGCCAACGCTGCATCGCAGCAAGGTCTTGAAGTTGGTAAGGAGCGTCTTCGTACCTTCCTTGAGAGCTCGGATACAGGACGCCAGGCTATGGCTATGAGCGGTGGTATGAATGACACCAGGAGACAAGAGAATGTCAGGATGGACAGGCTGAATGGAGACGGGAAGAAAAGCAAGGCTGAGGAGGAGGATCTGGATGACATTTGAGTGGGTGCTTTGCAGTGGTCTTTTGGGTAGACGCCGTTCAAGGTAGGATAAGTGAAAAGAATTGCATGCCGTTGATGAGGTTGGGTTTGTGGGTTATTGATAGACTCCTAGAGGCTGGGACGACTTCGTCTCAAATCAGAAGCTGAATACTTGAGCCAGGAACTTGAGGTGTCTATTGTATAACGAGCTACCAATAGTAGCCAAAAGTTGTCACTGCATCTAAACACCGAACTTTCTGGGGTCCAAACTACCAATTTGCGCACTCTTCACATCGCCATCCCACACAAACTCACTCAACAGCTTTCCTGTCGCAGGCCCGTTCTGAATACCCCAACATGTGTGTCCAGCACCCATCAGTAGACCCTTCACACTGGTCTTTCCGATAAGCGGACCGCTACCTCTACTTACATTCGGCAGGTAGCACGCTTGTCTTGCTGTGACCTCACCGTCTCTCAACTCCTCTGAGATAGCGGAGACCTGCTCAACGATTTCTTGACATCGGCTCTCATCACATTGAACCAGATCAGTGGATGTAGGAAGGGGCACGAGATGATCACCTTCGCCACACGCGTAGACTTCCTGGTTCGGTCGAGCATAGATTTCTGGTGTGACGGTCTCGCCGCGTTTGCCGTTGCCGCGTGGCATATCTATTGAGGTGAAAAGTGCGTAGGCAGAGACGGGTCGCGAAGGGCGGATGGTGACACTGTGAGCACGGAGAGCTGAGATAGGCGAGGGCTTCCAGACTGTCCTCGTCCATGGGCCTGCCGTAAGGATAATGGTATCGGCGTCGAGTTTTTGCTCTTCGCCTGACTCTTTGCTCTTGTACGAAACAGACTTGACCGCGCCGTTCTCTTGCTCGATGTTGGTAGCAGAGCCGTACACAATCTTGACGCCCTTCTCTTCGGCAAGCTGTGCCATACTCGTTGTGAAATGATAAGGATGCACTTGCGCCGTCGTGAGTGGTGTACCCATTTCCTCGTAGGCCTTCATGCCATCCGCGGCCACCCAATCCAAATCTTTCGGTACACCGGCAGCACGTAGTAAACCGATCGCTTTCTGTGTTCGCTTTTGCAGGCTCACTGAGTCCTCTTTGCTCTTGCCGTTCGTCCCATCTTTGGCACCTTTGCTCTTGGCTAGAACGCCATACATGTCAACCTGACCACAGTGTACTGCTCTGTAGCCCCAACGCTCCGCGCCACCATGTTTCTCAGCTAGCTCTTGATGCAGTTTGTAACTTAGCGGAACAATGCAATTCGGGTATGCCCATAATGCTAGAAGACCACCGGCTTTCCCCGATGCACCACCAGCAATCTTAGTGGCTTCCAAAAGTGTGATGCTGTCTCTTTCTTTGTTGAAGTTTGGGTGGTGCGAAAGAAAGTATGCTGTGGTAGAGCCAATTATGCCGCCACCTAAGATCGTTAGCAAGAAACCTTCGAGATAAGTAGATCGATTGGTTCAAATTACCAATGATAACGATATTGCGTTTTTGTTGATCCGCTGCCATGATGTTTGTTAGGCGTGAAGTTGCTTTGAGCATGAAGATGTTGATGTTTTGCAAGCGTGGCGTTGGTCGTATTGCACTTTTCGGGAAGATTTAAACCGATTACTGAGATACGTCATAGTTCACATGCGTGCAAATGTTCATTAACCAGCTCTGATAACGTGCACATTATATTGGAATCGAGAAATTAATCAGCTATAATGTAATACAATAGTGATGTGAATGTCTAGACAAAGAAAGAAAATCGTACAACGGCTTTAATGGAGTTGCCCCGTCTCAGAAATCTCCACCCATGTCACCCATGTCGTCGCCTCCCATATCTCCTCCACCCATATCGCCATCGTCACCATAGTTGTTTTCCACATAGGTATCGCCGCCGTCCCCGGCCATGGCCGATCCAATAAGTCCACCTGCCAGCAAACCTCCTCCTGCTCCAAGGGCCATGCCTCCCATGCCGCCGCCTCCTCCTGGACGCCTACCACCGCCCATCATACCGCCACCCATAGGCATGCCACCACCCATTGGTCGGCCATAGCCTCCTCCGCCATAGTAGCCTGCTCCACCCACTTGGCCGTATGCTGGCTGTCCATAGCCATGCTGTTGTTGTGGGTAGCCGTGCGACGATGATGAGTGTGACGAGCCAGTAGCCTTTCCAAGGATCTTGCCTAATAGGCCTTTGCCTTTGCTGCCCTTGTCTTGTGTATTCGCATCGTGGTGTTGTTCTTGCGGATACGAGCTGGTGCTCTGTTGGCCATAACCGCCGTACTGCGGTGGTTGCGACTGCCCAGGCTGGTTGTAGTAGTCGTTCGACTGTCCGCGTGTATTGCTCGAGTGTCCGTTGGCGCGCGCTTGTTCTTCTTCTTGTAGCCTTCTCGCAAGCGCCTCGTCCTCGCTCGTGTTCGCGTAAGGGTTATTGCTACCGAATCCTCCCTTCTCGTTCGCGGCTGAAGGATATCCACCGGCAGCGCCGCTTGCTGGAGGCGCATACCCAGGAGGAGCACCAGCGGGCGGGGCCTCGCCGGGAGGGTAGACAGGTTCGGTCGGCTTGTCCCATTGTGACTGCTTTGTGTAGACGTTGACGTAGAACCATTCGTTGTATTGCGGGTTCCAGACGGCTTTCCAGCCTTCCGGTACCTTGGGTGGGGGAGGGCCCTGTGTATCCAGTTAGCCATGACTACGCATCACCATGGTTGTGACCGCCATATACATACTGGTGGTGGTGCGAAGTCTGCCATTATGTGGTTGATATGCGAAAATCAGGTACCTGGTTTTAGAACAATAAAGAAGACTTTGAGACAAAGGTAGCTTCAAATCACGTATAATCAAGTAATGTCGCAAAGTAATCTGGATTGCGGGGTGATGGGCTAATAACCCATGGAATTACGCGCGAACGGGAGCTTCGATTGAGTGCGCGTCATCGTGGCAAACGAAAGCAGCGCCACGTGCCTGCTGAGCCACAATGCGCCATGGTGTGATCACAGATCCTGGAACATATTCCGTAGTTCCGTGTTTTGTGCGCGATGATTCGGATGAGAAAGGTGGACATGGAACGGTATTCTCTGAGAATGATGTCATTGGGTGTTCAACATGCGAACTACTCCAAGGGGAGCTAGCCCTACATCGGTACTAGTAATGATGCACAACCTGGTATCCATTATTTTATACGCAACTCCTAGTCTCTAACTGTGAGGTGCGTGATACCTTCATACCCTAGAGGCTACCTTTTTGCTCTTCTTTGCTCTCTCGATAAAGTCTTCGACGCTTCTCTGCTTAAATGGCTTCTACAGGTCGGGTTCTTCTACAGGCATGCAAATGCCTGCCTGTTTGTATGGCTTACCGGATGCTTCACGAACTTTTGGTGGCACTTCTTGTGCAGTATCTTATGCATTAATGACAGTGAGGATTCCGGTAGGAAAGCTGACAAGCAATGCGGCATATGATAATGCAGTTGCTCTGTGGAAGTTGAGCATTACAGCCTCAAGCTTCGGCAGCATACCTCGTGTCTCTAGTGATGGACTCGAATCTTATTAAAGCTACTCAAGTCTTTGGTGCAAGAGTGGTAATAGGTTATCAGCATAGCCCTGGAATCCTAGACTATCATCGTTGTTGTAGGATACTCATCCCAGCTCAAGGTTCGACAGATGTCACTAGGCTAGTGAGGAGTCTAAGATTCGGAACGGTCTGGTGAATGTAGGCCCTCCCTTGTATCAAAATTGTCTGTTCCGTAGAGTCTCTGCCCTCGTGAGGATGCTTAAGGAAGAAGACATTGCAGTCGGCAGACTTGTCAACAATCAAGCCAAGCAAGCTGGGTACCCCAGCTTGGCTTGATTGTTGGGTGCCTCTACTTCAGCTTAGCTTGATTGGCTTGGTGGGTTAAAACAAGCCAGCTTGATTGTTTGGCT